ATCTCACTTTTTTATATAGGTAGTGCTTAATTTACATATTTACACACACACATGTGCGTATAGGGTCCTATTTAATTTTATGGCCAAAGAAATTTATGGCCAAAAGGAATTTTTGCGGCTTGGTCACAGCACAAAGATCCAGTTTCACAGGCATTTCACAGTGGCTTTAGCCCTCGCCACTGATTGGTGGAGAGGCCGTGGAGGGGGAGGAGGGACAAGGGGCGGCTGCCATCTTGGCTGCTGGCTGTCCTTTGTGCTGCCCTGGCATCCAGTGCCTTCCCCTCTAGGGCAGGCTGTGAGGCAGTGAGGAGCCAGCATTTTATTTTTATTAAGACTTTTTTAAAATTGATTTCACAGACAATTGCAGATTTCATGGTTTCTGCAAAATTGCAAAGTAGGTAGGTCCCTACATTTGTGTGTGTGTGTATGTGTAATCTCTCTATAGTGTAGTGTAGGAAATGTAGCATTTAATCTACCCCTGTGATAGGGTTTTCATTGGTCATTTAAAAATCTTCATTTAAAAATATTTCTGTGTCCATGTTACTTGAAGTAGGGTGAAAGGCAAGTTTGGCTGCTACACGTGCTTCAGAAACAAAACAGAACAAAAGAACACCAACCAGTCAACCAAAGAAACAAACAACACCAGCTACTAATCACAAAAAATAGGAAATGAGAGCATAACTTAAAACAATGGCCATAACTACTATTATATTCCAAGGAAAATTGCATTCATGTTTTAAATGGTCATGGTGATAGCAGTTACAGTTTTTGTGGAGGAGCGAGGTTTCATGGGACTGGCACTAGACTGTTGAACAAACTCTCACAGAAGCTGAGGACTACTCAATGGACTACTTTCCTTTCTACGTGAAACGCATATTTCTTTGATCTTGCCTTTGACATAAACATATAAGTACATATACATGTTGGTATGTAAAAAAGTCCAGACAAAATACAGACACTTCTGCTGGGCTGAGGATGAGCAGACAATCATGTGACAGATGTCAGTCATACTGCTTAATGCATTGCTGGAATGCTGTTGTGGTGAACACCATATAACAGTTATGTATAGAAGAAAACAGATGAGAATTTACAGTACCTGTGGTTTTATCTAGCATAAATACTTTGTTTTCATTGCCTGAAAAAATATGATATGCAATTTGTCCATTTCTTCCTTCATCTGGATCCTCTGCAATTATGTGATGCACCAGAGAGCCTATCTCTGCATCCTCCATGACATAGGCAAGAGGAGAAGACACAAAACTGGGACGGTTGTCATTGATGTCTAAAATGACAATTTTTGCTGTCTGGGATCCAAGTCTGCGATCTGTCAAATTTACTGCCTGATCTGCTGCAGACACTGTCAGGACCACAGAATGAGTAACTTCTCTATCTAACGGAACTGCTGTGATCAAGGTGCCATATGAAGGATTAATGAAAAATGGATTTTCACCAGTGTCACTCATTTTTATGGAATACCATATTTTGCTGTTCAGAAAACTGCCATCTCCATCTTTTGCATTGAATGTGTATACTAAGGTGCCAACAGGTACATTTTCCTCTATGCCAATCACTATGAAATCCTCTTGGAAATAAGGGGAGTGGTCATTTTTATCTTCTACATCAATATTGAGGAAAACAGAATTGTTTTGTGGAGGATTCTTATTACAATCCTTTACAATGACCCTCAGAAGGAAGTGAGAAACTGTTTCATAGTCAAGTTCCTTGGAAAGAAAGATCTCCCCTGTTGAACTATCTATTTCAAAATGTTCATGGTCATCTTCTTCAGCAATACTAAAATGCAGTTTTCTATTGGCCTGTGGATGATGACCAGCCAACTTTATAGAACTCAACACTTGTGCAGGCTTAAAATTTTCAGGTATGATGAAGTGCTTGATATCTTGATAAAAGATAGAACTCCCTTTGGGCAGTGGGATTACCTGAAAAAGCACAAAATTGTTTATTTTTTTTCCTTTTGAATTATTGGCATTACTGTAATGTATTTTATTATAACTAATTACTGGGTCTAATCATTTGTAGTTTGTGCATGGAAGACCACATTAGCTTTCATATACATCAAGGCTAGAACAACCGCTTTACTGGCATAGTGCTGATATACTGTCACAAGAAGCTTAAACCATCTGTTAAGCTTATTAATAGCTTATGGCTAAAACACCATCTCCAAACATTTTACAAGAATTAAAATCTATCCTCAGGAAATATTCCGCCATTCAAAAGTATTATCCAGTAAGGCATTACCCAGATTCATCTTTTTTCCTGTACTGCATTCATGATTGCAACAGGGTAAGCAATGAAGCTTCTCTCTCTCCTACTGAATCTCATGAGCATCAGAGAAAAAAAAAGCTACACCGTAGTGTTTTCTTTGGTGGTGCTCTTAAACACCTTCATTTATTTAACTATTATGAATATTTGCCATTATTTACTTTCCCAAAGTTAAAGAGGTAATTGATTTTGGGGTGGTTACATCACCATAGAATTTCCTACATCACATATCATTGTAATGGTTTAAAATTAGAGAAATTCTTCAACAGTTGAACTACATTTGCCTTCTGACTGGGACATGAATGGCGTGCCCTTTAAAGCTGCCTAAAATTAACTTTCATACCAAAGACATATGACTAGTATTCTGGGTGGCATTCAACTTGTAATATATATAGGAGTGTGGCCACCTGAAAGTTTGGAGCCTTTTCAAAAGCTAATACATCTTGACCAGTGTGTGTGAATGAGCTGAGAACAATTCAAATGCAGCAAACCTACTCCAACTTTAACCCTAGATGAAGGAATATTTAAGTTGGAGCAGGTTTGCTGTCTTTAAATTGTTCTCAGCTCATTCACACGTGACAATTAGAACTTACCCCCCCCCCGCTACCCTTTTGAAATATTCCCCTTTTGAAAGGGCTCCAAGAGTTCCTGTGTCCACACTGGGTTTACAGAAGGCCCTGCCAAACAGATCTGTTGTGGTTCTGCCAAGTAATATGTGGCTAGCTACAAAAATACATGACAATGGCTTTAATGCTCTCCTCACATGGCTGAGCTTGTCACTTTGCAGCTCCCATATAGGCCAGCAAGAGGGGATAGGCTACCCTCCTGTTCTTTGAAGTGTAAGAGAAGGTTGAATAAAGGAATAGGTGTGATACAGTGGGGAAACATCATCCACTGTATTTTCCTTTTAAAATTTACTTTTCCTTCTGCCTACTTTGATCTCCAGTTTTAACTATTTTCATGGGATATTTTTCCTCACTTCATAATCTCCTCTTGCTGGAATATGACTTATAATTGCAAGTCAACCCATAATACTGGAAATGAAATGAGGAAAATGTATCTGTCCCCTGCAATTTCCTCATTCAATAACATCAAGATTGGAAAAAATCCCAGGAGATAACATGAGATAACAGGCTCTCAAGTTCACACCATACATTTTATTTTCCACATTCTCATCCTTTGGGGTTCCAATTTTTAAATGAACTGAAATTCTAGCAACATGTTTCTAATCTGTGCTATGTAAAATGGTACCTGAATGTTAAGAGTTGCGTGTCCTTGAAGGGGAGGCATTCCTTGGTCACTTGCAGTGACAATTATTCTGTATTTAGATCTCTGATTATATGAAAGAGAGTCAGTTGTCCTTAACTCACCATTGCTGGCATCAATCTGGAAGGGACCTAAACTCTCTTCTATAGCACAAAAGAAAAAAAAAAAAGAAAGAATTAATTCTTAATTCAACTGTTGAACATACAATGTCCATTGTCCAAATGCCCCCATAGTAACATATTGTTAACATGCTTTGTAGTTAATGGTACAAAGTGAATATATCTACAGTTCCCATTTATTTCTATGGGAGTTGGGGCGGTCAGCACCTCTCCTGATTAAACTCATGATTATTCTGACCTGCTTCTAATGGGCTCAATTCAAAGGTATTTATTGGGGGTGTGCGAAACATGCCCTATTTGATTTGGATTCAGATTTGGCCCAAATCAGGGTCAGTGATTCTATTTGTTGATTTGTATCACCATCCCTGATTCAGTTTGGCCAAATCTGAAGATTTGATGCTGATTCAGAGAATCAGCGATTCAGACACAGACACAGCTTTAAATGTTTTTTCTACATACCTTGAGGTACCAGGCATGGCTTGTGAATGCTGCAATGCAGGGGCAGATGGAGCATCCCACAGGAGCACGGGGTGGGGGGAGCATGTGCTCAGTGGCGAACCCGGAAGTGGACCAGAATTACTTCTGGTCCACTTCTGGGTCCACTGGGGAGAGTGCCATGGGGCCCCCCGCACCTTCCTGGCTTGGTGATCAGTTGCAGGGGGACCCCATGTGCCCCCCCAGACCCAGGAGGCACCAGTCACCGGAGGGGTTTGGGAAGGGGGTCCCACGTGCTCTTTGGCAGACCCAGAAGTGGACCGGAAATGCTTCTGGTCCACTTCCGGGTCTACTGCCGAGTGCACTGGGGACCCCCTCCCCCCCCGCCACACTTCTGTGGGACACTCCATGTGCCTCAGCATCATAACATTTACGAGCTGCCTGCTACCTACAAGTACGTAGAAAAAACATTTAAAGCTGTGTCTATGTCCGAATCACCGAATCTTTCCAGATCTCTCCAAATCAATTCAGAAGGTTCCAATTTGATACAGAGAGATTAAAGGGTCCTCTGATTCGATTCAGATTCAGAGATTTGGCCACCAAACTGGGCCAAATCTCCACTGGATTGAATAAGAGAACAAAGCTTGGCATAGCCCTAATATTTATCTACCTACAAAAAGGAGATAAAGAATATATAGTACTTGCTTCGTTCAATGCCTACATCAGTAATCTGTGCACAAGTGGGCAACACCCAACTAGGTCTGTTAAATTATCTCTTGAGTGTGTAAGTAAGCAAAGGCAGGGAAGGGATGAAGCCTTATCAACTGAACTTGTATGGAGGGAAAAATAAACTGTGCCGGGAAAAGGTGTTTTGGGTTCCCTCACTGGTTATGAGAATCCAAATTCAAAAAGTCCCTGATCTATTCCAACTGAAGTGCAATGATGATGATGTAACTTTGCATTCATGCTGACCAGGAATTCAAGATATATATATGAAAACCACACTTGTATTATATAGAGTTTAATCTTATGGCTATTTATCCCAGAACAAAATCAGAAATGGCTAGAACCTATACTTTTATGCTTTGTGAATGTGGCCATATGGCCAGTAACTGGCAAGCTCTCATTTGAATTACTACTAGCCACTACCTCATACTAGTATTTATTACCTCCCAGTTAACACAAAATGTGAAAAAAACCAGCTACTTGTAATACATTATTAAAAACTGGGAAATTCTAATGTTAAAATAGTGTGTATACAACAGTTTGCCATATGTATTTTTAATAAGGTGTGTTTGTGTGTCTTACAAAATCATGTAGTATACAGCTGCTATTCAAAAAAGAAACTGCGGTAAAACAATAAATCTGATACAGATGTAGAATAGAAAATATCCAAAAGAAGGATATATTTTCATAAGCACCTAACTGAGCATGAAGCTGTTTATGTTCCCCAAATTTGCACATACAAATTAGATAGCTACACATATAAATGCCCATTTATGTATACAATTACCTTACTCCATCTGAAAAATATTTGCACCTTAATATTTTGAACAAGCAATATAGGAAGCTATTGAATCCAGTCCGCAGCTGCCTCCACGCCACTCTGCATAGGGTCAAGCCCCACCCACTCCCACCCACTGGCCCAGGCCGCAACCAGGGCATGCAGCTTTCAATGGGGCTGTTCCCAGTGCTGCTCTGCTCCCCTCACCTCCAGTGGGATCTGCCTACCTGAAGCATCCCACCTGCCCACCTGCCTGGAGCAGTGCAGCAGGGGCAGGAGAAGGAGAAGGAGCCACCATTGGAGGTGAGGAGAGTAGAGCAGTACCCAGCCAGCTACAGTCACACTGGGAACAGCCCCACTGGAAGCTGTGTGCACTGGCTAGGGCCTGGGTCAGTGGGGCTATTCTGCTCCCCTCACCTCCAGCAGTGGCTCCTCCTCCTGCTCCTGTCCCTGATATGCTACTCCAAGTGAGGGGGAGCATCAGCTGGGCAGCTCCTGCCCCAGTGTGTAGGGTGCCAGCTCCAGCTCCTAGCTGTCTTCCACTCACTCCACCTACACGGAGCAATGAGCAGCCAACCTACAAGCAGGTGGACTGGATGGAAAGTGGCTAGGAGCTGGAGCCAGAGCCCTGTGTGCTGGGCTGGAAGCTGCCCAGCTGAAGCTTCCCCCACTGCCAGCCTCACTGAAGTGGCACAGCAGGAGCAACAGCAGGAGAAGAAGCCACCACTGGAGGTCAGGGGAGCAGAACAGCCTCACCAGCCTGGGCCCTGGCCAGCATGTGCAGCTTCTGGCAGGGCTGTTCCCAGTGTGGCTGCAGATGTCCAGGTGCTGCCCTGCTCTGCTCTGCTCTCCTCCCTTCTGGCAGCAGCTCCTCCTCTCACTCCTGCCCCTGCTGCAGTGCTCTGAGTGGGCAGGAGGAGGGGAAGCTTCAGTCATTTGGCTCCTGCTGAAAGCAAGAGGAGCAGAACTGCACTCAGCTGGCTGCAGCTACACCAAGAACTGCCCTCCAGAAGCTGTGCAGTGGCCGGGGCTGGGGCTGGGGCATGGGTGGGACTGTGGCACAGGCTACCCCAAAAGAGGCTTAGCCACATGTGGAGTGCCGCGGGAGCAGCCGCAGACTGCACCACCTGGGCAAGCTCTGCTGAACACTGCCCCCACCTCCCCCTCCTTCCTCTCACCCTTGGCTGGTTCCCAGGACCTAGAATCCAGGCACCCCCCCCCCACACACACACACATGCACATTCCCCACAAACCCTCACAAGGCAGGGCAGCATGCAGGGAGTAAATCAGCATCACCCACTATCTCACTCTTCTACGCTGCTCCCTGACTGCCCAAAGCCCCATAGGGAGTGTTGATGAGTTTTTGCAAGTAATCCAATTTGACCAGGGTTAGGTGCCTAGGATCCCTATGCTCTGAAAAAAGTTGGTTCCTCTAAAGAAGAATCCAATTAAAGTGTAGTGCACAGATACTTTATACACAGGATGGGGAGAAGAGAGAAGCTGTAAAGGACAATTCAGAAAAAGAGCCAATATAAAACACTCAGCAGAGGGCTATGTCTAAACTGATCTCCCTTAGGCATGTGAATCAAACTGAGTATTATGTGCCTCTGTTGATTTCCAATCCCCTATGCTTTTTCCTGACTCTGAGAGTAGACATGGTAGTGGCTAGATCCACCTTTTACCCAGGGATTAGAGAACTTGGAACTTGGGAAGTAGAAAACCTTGGTTCTAAGCCCTTCTCAGCCATAGGTGATTTGACCTCGTACCTCCCACTTCTTACAAGGGTTTCTTCCACCAAGCTATAAAAACTAGATCATAGGATCATAGGAAAGTAGGGCTGGAAGGGAGCACACAAGGTCATCTAGTCCAGCCCCTTGCTTAAGGCTAATGACTAAACCACCCCAGCCAGGTGTCTGTCTAAACTGCTCTTGAAAAATCCCAAGGATAGAGATTCCACAGTTTCTCTATTTAGCCTGTTTCAGTGCTTGGCCACTCTCAGAGTCAGAAACTCCTCCTAATCTCCAACCTCAATTTCCCCTGTTGACGCGTATAATTGTCATGTATTTATCTGTTTGTATGCAACACTACATTAATTTTATATGCAACTTTTCATAGAGAAGCTGAGAAAAATGAATTGGATAGAGATAATATCAATCCAGTTTATGCAAGTTGCTTTTAGTCCCAACTGCAATATATGTGATTTGCATCAACAACTACCGCCATTCAAATGCTATCTGAGGAGTATTGTGTCTTGTGAAATGTGTCCATAAAATCTGCGCTCAAAGATAGCAACTAGTTCACTCTTTTCATAGTGAAACCTAAAAACCAGCCTTCTGTCAGCTTCTAAGGTTGAAGGTGAGGTGGAAAGCTTGAATTTCCCAGGTCTGCTTCCTTTTGATTGTGGTGTGCCTGCAGCTCATGTTAGTACACCCACTGAACAAGTGCTTGCAAAGTACAAGTATCAGTTCTGTATATCCTTAAAAAAGGAGCTTTAAGCATTAAAGAATATTTCTTCCACCTTGCCTACTTCAATACATAAGCTCAACCAAAGCTTGACAAACAGGGATATTTGGACATAATGTATAAGAAGTAGCTCTCCTTTCCTTGTTAATTTCTAGTGATGCAAGGTGAAAATACTTGAGGAGCACCACATAATATGTTATCACAAGCTGCAGCAGAAGCACTAAGACCATTTGGACACAGGCATTCAGAGAAGAGCAGCCACAATCTGTTCCAAAAAATCTTGAGGTCATCTAAACACAAAATATCATTTGCAACAAGAAAAGATTTTTGTGGGTCATAGCTGTTACTCATATCTTTTATTCTATAGTTGAGAAGGATATAGACAAGCTTTTAGGTATGAAGTACCCTTCCTGAGGTCTTACTCCAGGCATGGGCTTCATACCCTTCCTCAGGTCTTAGATTTTAAATGGGTATTTCATCACAGTTAGTGCAATAAAAGATATTACCCACAAAAAACCTTGCCTCTCATATTTTTCTTGGATCATCAGCCCAACTCTACCAAAACCTGGAGAATATAATTTGATCATTCTCAAATATAAGGGGCCTCAATATCTAATAGTATCTACTATTATTTTCTTTTTCTATCCAATTTCCAATGGAATTGTATCCAACACAAAAGCTCTAAATGAGTTTTCTGATGCTTTGAGCCTTGCTCATCCCAACCACATTCTGAATGTAAATGTAACTCAGGAGCTTCAGCTTAAATTCACACTGAGGAGGAAAGAACAGTATTCAATAGAAAAGAGGAAGACAGGGGCATGCCCTGCCCCTACAAATAGGAATATTACAGGATCCACATGGGAATCCCACCTGTGCTGTGCTCTGAGCTCCATCTTCCCCTAGAGCAGGGGTTAGCAAACCACAACCCATGGGCTGAATTCAGCCCACAAAGATTTCGAATCCAGCCTGGGGCAGCACAGGGGATCAAGGGACATATAGATGTGCTGTGCTGTGCTGTCCACCCCCACTCCACAGCACTGCAGTCTATGGACCTGCCTGCACTATGCCTGTGAAAGAGGCTGCAAAGGGGTTGAGTACCAGGGGCCTGGGCTGATGAGAAGCATAGGTGGCCTGGGCACATTGGGAGGTATAAAGTTGTGGCTTGCAGCAGGGGACTGGGTTGCACTTTCTATCCCATGGCAGCAAAAAGATTGTCAGTCCCCACCCTAGACAATACGAACTGCCATTTGTACTTGTCTATGACAGATGTGATCGGGGTGGACCCAGAGGGAGTACAGTGGCACAGCTATAACCCCATCTCAGACTGAACTGTGGTGCTTAAACACCTGGGAACTTAAAAAAACCTCCAAAGCAGAAGAGAATCCCTCCATCACCACTGTGCTCGGATATACCACTTCAGATGCTTTCCCTGAAGTCCTAGGGAAGGGGACTCTTCAGAGCTGCTCCTGCCCACTCTAACTGGGCATCATGAAAGCTGGGTTCCACTAGGGCAGCTACAGCAGCAGCAGCTCCTTGCACCTGCTCCTGCAGGGACCCAGCAATATGGGGAAAGCCACCCCCTCCCTATTGTTGCTGCTGCTGTTCCCACCTAGGGCAAGCATCTGCAGTGGGCAGAAGCAGCTCTGAAGTTTCCCCTGCCCCTGGGGACAGTGGGGAAAGCAGCAGGGACTAGAGGTGGAAATGACTGAAGGGGAGGATATGCCCTGAGCCTGGAGGGAAAGGCAGGGATGTTCATGTGATCTGGGAACTCTGAAAGGTCCCTAGAGGCTCCTGCCTACACCAAAGGAGAAGGCTGGGAGCAGGGGTGCAGCAACCTCTGCAGCTGGGGTGGCCACCCCCACACCCCCTTTCTCAAATCCTAGGCCTCTGGATGTGATCCTTGCCACCCTCTGACAAGTTAACTATGTTACTAATGAGAATCATATCTATGAAAAATCTCACAGTATGAAAATATACCTAGATTTCAATCCTGAATGCTTGTTCTGACTTCTCCCCTTAAATAGCTCTTAGACATTTATGGTTAACTTATCTACATAATTTAATCTTTCTTTTAGTTGGACATTCCTTAAGGGTGTTAAAAAAATTAAAAATTACTCAGTAACTGGCATCCCTGCAGAGCTTGAGAGCTACACAGTTGACACTGAGGCATGTAACTCTTGATCTTGTGGCAATCCCTTAAAAGTTGAAAAAATCACTGCTTTGCATACAGATTGCCAATTACAGAAGCTTGTGTTTTTACAGGTACCAAAATTAATCACATTATATTTCTTTGTTGCACCAGCACTGAACAATATGCCAAGACCACAAAGTCCATCACTATTCTTGATTTTCTACTTTTAAATATAAGTCATGTAAGAATATAAGAATCTTACTATTAAATAGAAGAACAGATGTAAAAGGCCATGAGCCTAATAATAAAACATTAGTATCAGACAAGTTCAGCTGTCTCCAAATTTCTTTAACTGCAAAATAGCTAGTTTCGTGTTTGCAGGATTTGGAAATTTTTAGATTATTTTAAAGTTTTCTTTATCTGTCTAAATAAATCTATTCATTGGAGTATTTTTTTTAAAGCTACATATTTGGCCTTTGTAGGGAGATTATGGCCAATCCTGCTTTAAGATAACCATTGATGGATGTGGTAGACTAAAACGTGTGAGATTAGAGTTCTTTTTTGAATGTCTGTACCACATGCATCATGCTTCAATGTGAGTTGCATTCTGCTACCATCCTAGATGCCCCTCGCTGGGTAGCTTGTTAACTTTGGCGGGTAGTTGTCTGTTCTGAGCAAGTACCAGCCCAGCCCTGCCCCTGGGCTGTCACAGAGAGGACAAAGAAAAGGCTTTGTCTCTTCCCAGCACAGCCAGGTGTGGGGGTACAGGAACAGAGCCTCTCTGCTGCACAGATCACCATCCTCCCAAGCCTGTGGGCTCAGGTCTTGGTGGGGTTGGGTCCATGTGGCAGGGAGAAACTGGGTCAGTTTATCTGGACCCAGTTCCCAGTGTGGCAAAAAGCTGGCCAGGCAGCCCCACGCTACAGCTTCTGGCTGCAGCTGTCAAGAGGCTGGGGCAGAAGGGGAAAGGAGCTTCCCCGTCACCCATGTGGGCCCCCAAAGCTTGCTGGCTGGGGTATTGCAGGGCTGGCTGGCTGGTTTTTCGCCAAACCAAAAAGGGAGCCCTCCTTGCCATGAGGGCCCCTCCCCCCACAGCTTACTGACTGGGGTCTCAGGGAGGTTGGGTCCGTGCGGCAGAGAGGGTTTCCTTCTCACCTGCCCCAGTCCCTGGTGCAGCAAAAAGCTTGCCAGGCAGCCCTGTGCTGCAGCTGTCACAAAGCTGGGGTATTTGAGGGGAAGGGGACCCCTCTGCCACATGGATTCAGCCTGGCTCCACTCCTGGAAACCTCAATCAGCAAGCTGTGGCAAGGGGCTCCATTCCCTGCTTTTTTTATCCCAGCCTTTACTGACAGTTGCCAGGTGGGGTGGAGGGCATAGGGAGTCATGCGGGAGCATTCCCCACCTGCTGGCCTTGCCCAGGGCAGACAGGCACTGAGCCCCCACCATGTATGTTCAAGTCATTCCTGCTCTAACTTATAACACTTTAAGTAAAGTGCAATACTTAGAGCACTCCTGCCAGGAACTTACTGAACATCTGTTCTTAGCTAGGGAGAATCCATTGTATTGCTTAAGAGAAGGAAGGCTACAGAGATAAGGAGAGGGACAGCTATTCCAGGAAGAGTGGCTCTTCCTTTAGCAGTCTTGGATTGTTCTGACTGTACAAGATTGAGAGGCCTTGGCTGTTGCCTACTCAGCAGCTCCCACCACTTTCTTGATAGAGGGTATAATTTTCTGAGAAATCTTTAGCTCAACACAAAGGTGTTTACAGTCTTCTTTGCTCTCCTTCAAGGAAGTGGCAATTTGGTTCCATATTTTTTAATTCTTAGAATCTTGTGATTATCACATAATACTAAATAAATGGTATTATTTTGCAGAGATAACTGCAACTGCCTCTTTTTCAGAGTGAGAAGTAATGCACTTTTGTGGCACTTCAGTTTTTATTCTTTACTTTGCAATAACAAATAATCATGACAAGTATAAACTGATGAGGGCACAAAGCTGAGCTCTAACTATTCAGAAAAGAGCAGTTGGGAAAATGTAGAACTCAGAGACATAAGAGCTGTTTTCAATCAAATACTATACTTTATATATCAAATACTATAAATTGAAAAATACTAAGCATAAAAGATATGGACTCCATATATCCTGTGATACAAAGCAGGGTATAAAAAAATAAGTTATGGCATCTGTATGTGAACTCCTCACTGATAGTTTTTCAGAAATAAATTTTTATTCTTAACACATTTTGTATTCTTGGACAAATAATGTAGCAAAATTGGAGGACCTGCCATGTTTTCCTCATTGTTAGAAGTAAAGCTGTGCCCTACATAACAGATGAAGTACATTACATCAGACACACAGAAAGAACACATCTACATCTCTAATCAACATTAATGTCCCACCCATTCTCTTGCTGAAATCTTGGATGGTTTTCCCACTGATTTCACTGGAAGCTTAATTGGAGTGAGGTACTAATGGATGTATGGGGAAAACGAAAAGCAAGCAAGCAAGCCAACATGCTTTCAGACTGTTAAGCAGTATCTAGAGAATCTGCTGCTAAATAAAAGGTGAAACATGAACTAAAGAACATAAGCGTCACTGTTTGCCCAGATTATTTTTTGATCCCTCTGATCGCTTTCTCAGACTGCTATGGACTCCTATAGCAAGAAGATTTTAAGTTGGTCATGAGAAAGAAGAGATCATTTTTCTTTTAAGATATTAAACAGTTGCCCATAACTGATTGAAACCTTAAACTCTGCTGTATATGCTTATGGACAATTATGGTCCTAATCTTGTGTGAGCTGCAGTTTATAACAGCTCTGTAGCCATCCCTCACTGGGAACAACAAAGCTTCTGGGAAAACAAGGGAGAGGGTGAAGGGAAAGATGATGTCTGCTCATGCCTCCTCAAATATTGTGATATGACCCAATTCCTATTTGTACTGTAAATGTAGTCAACTCCTGCTTTAAAGCCCCTTTACTGTGTTGGAATATTGTAATAGGGCCTAAGTCTAAATAAGAATCAAAGATTGCAAGCTGGCTCCACTAATCCTTTCATTGCTTCAGTACCTTCTCTTTTGTGCATCGCAGTTATCAATTCTTACCTGGTGCTATTGAACATAACACTACACCATTGTTTCCAGAATCAAGGTCCTTTGTAAACACAGTGGTGACAAGCATGCCTCCTGGTTGTCCTTCCAAAACCTGTCATCAAACAGCTTGTTTAGAAGTGCATATTAGAAATGAAATGAGTGTTAAAATGAATTAATTCACCACAAAACAGTTCATTTTGGACTTTATTTCATTAAACCTAATACTGATGTCTATATTGAAATTAGTAGGGAAATCTTATTTACAATTCAAGTTTTATACCACAAGGTGGTGCTCAAAACAACACTCTGGCTGATCTTTACGAGGTCACTTAACTAGTTATTACAAACCTTGATATCTAGCTCTTTTCCAGATGGGATCTGAGGAAAGATAGGTTGATTATCATTGATGTCAGTAACTGAGAGATATATGGTTGTTGTGGCATTAAGTCGTGGAACTCCATGGTCTGTCACTAGTATGACCAATTGGTGATGGGCTTGTTGTTCATGATCTAATGCAACGCCATTTATAATTTCACCTGATGAAAAAATAAAGGGAAGGAAAAAAAGGACAGAAGTACTGAATTAACATAAATCATAATATATTATCTTAACATATTACATAAAATTCAATGCAATGTACCTCACACAGTGTAAAATAATGGTGCATACTGCATATAGCAAAACCCCAGCTAACTATATTTGCTCTCACAAAAACACACAAATAATCCAAGTCTGATTGTGTATTTCAGGGTAATACTATCGTCTTCACAGGACCAAGGTCCCTGAATTTCATGTAATGAAACAGAATGGCTACTTGAAAATAAACTATCTGATGTTTTTTTCATTATATTCCAGGAATAAGAACACACAGTGTAGCCCTTAACTCATGGGCAAATGGCCCTATCTTATCTTGACTGATCTTAAGAGTTAGAAAACTCTCAATACTGCTGATAACTACCTTATCTCTACCATACCCTGAGGCTGTAGGTCCCAGGGAACAAATCTGACAGTCCTCTCTCCAGATGTTCAACTGTACTCAAGCATATCTGATGATTTTTAAGTGACTGAAGAACTTCTGTTAGATTAACTCATATTATTACACAATTTTGAGACCTTCTCTACTATACTCTCTCTCTGCTTCCCTTTGAACTTTTGTAAGTCTATTCTAAGAGGCCTTGCTTTGAAACAGCAGTTTTATTTTGGAATTCTAGAATAGCTAGAAGATGGGAATGCAGGGCATTTGCAAAGTGCAGGTGTATCAAACTCATCCAGCCCTGTGTGTCAGGTGAGCTGCATGGGACCCATCCACAGTTGCATGAACATTGCAGGGCCAGCCCCATGGCCTGACTTGGGCCCATGGACCTCCACCCCAATTCCAGATCCAGTGCTCACAGTGCCTGCTCTGGCTGGATCAGGACACGAGCTGCACACAGCACCCACTCTGGCCAGATCAGGATGTGAGCCATGTTCAATGCAGGTCCTGGACTGATCAGAGTGGGCTCTGTGTGTAGGAGCCAAAGTGAGAGCTAGATATGGCATGAGGGGGCCCATGGAACCACCTCCCCCACCGCTCCCCATGTCTGATCCTGTGCCTGCTGTGGCTGGTCTGGAACTGCACTGCATGCAGAGCCTGCTCTGAACAGTCCAGGACCCAAACTGCACACGATGCCTGCCTAGGACCATCTGGAGTGGACACTGTGTGCAGCCATCAGGAGAGGGTGCCAAGAGTGCTAGATCCAGCATGTAGTAAGGGAAAGGTGTCCAAACTTGCCATGCCCAGGGCCAGTACTGAGGGCTGGATGATATGGCTCTGCATGCTGAATCCAGCCTGCGGACCATATCTTTGAACGCCCCAGCAGAGTGGAATCTCAGACTGCAGATTTGTGCTGTACAAGCTATCAGGTTCCCCTCTTACTGGAAAAAAACATGGATTTCTCATTTTAGCAGAGACACCCATGGATTTTGCAGCAAGGCCTCTGCAGGCTAGCAGAGTTCCAGCCTGTAGGGGGCTGGGGAAAGTGGGAGGAGGGTGGTCAGGCAGGGGAGCCATGTGCAT